ATTTTTCATGTCATATTGCATAGAAATAGTATTTATTTGTCTCTTGAACAATTTTTTGTATCAGAGTATGGTCAAATGTCAAACGAAAATAGTCTACTGGTCTATTTTCATCATTTTTTGGTATATATGAACTAATACCAGATTCACTTGAGTCAAATGTAAATGTTTTTGGTTCAAACCACTCTTCTTTCCATCTTTGCTCTTCGAAAAATTCTTCTTTATTTTGTTCTTCGTCTCCACTATCTGATTCATTATCAGAGTTTGAAACAGAACCAATATCTATTTCATCATCTGATTCAGAATCTGTAAAAGTTTCAGTTACATCTGAATCAGATGTATTATTATATGCCATAATAATCCAGGAAACTTTGAAAAATGAAAAATCAGTGATTATGACGTATAAAGTTGATTAGTAACAAAAATTATCACTATCGTTTCTTGTTTAATGTCACCTTAATGAATCGTTGTATATTATTCATACGGCAAAGCTACCTCTTATTTATACTACTTAAACAGAATATTCTTGACTGCTGAAAAGATTGGTTTCATATAAACCAATGATGTCGCCATACGAAAGATGCCCCTAGTGTCTACAGTGTATCACCAATGAGCTTCATCAAGTTATCTCTATATACTACATATGAAATTAGTGAACAATCTCTTCACTAATCTACTCAAATTGTTAGGCCATAAATTTACGGCCTTCGCCGTCAAAGGGTTAACTATCAAAGACAACAGATTATCAACTCATTCTATCTTCTATTCATGCTTCGCTAAACAAAAAAATTCACACTTCATATTTGATTTTATCAAATTTAGCACATCTACCTAACATTAAACAAAAACAAATTATGGACCCCGTGGGTTGTGGAGAAAAAACATTTTCACGCGTTTCATAACTATTTTATAATCTTACAAATGATCTATTTCTTTATACCATTGATCCTGTTTATCCATGCATATCTGACATTGATGAATCATTGATGATTAAAGACATTCATTTGAATGGTGCACACATGGTGTATTGATGATCAATGAATTGAAATTGCTTACGGTCGATATTCAACTTCTTTCATTGCCATTGACACCAACTTGTTACAACAGAAACGAAAAACAAATGATTCAGATGAAGAAGAATGAAGAGATTTGAGAAGAGACATGAAACATACAGATGTTAAAAGGGAAAGTGCGCCGGCAACTACGCACATTCGGCCCGAAACATAGCCGCCCTTAGCACGCTCACTGATATTCTGTGACAGTGTCTTTTGTTTAATACTGCACCCCTTCAGTATTATCGTCCTCCGACACTGCCATGTCTCTCGACTCATCTTCTCATTCATTCATCACTCGAATCAATTTTATTTACCATCCACTGTTGTTCAATTGTATTGCTAAGTGATGATGTATGATGTTGAGTTGTTGTTTGTTCTGGCAAGTTCCAACTTGCATTCAGAATTTGCAAGAATTCGTTAGCCAAGGTCAAATTGTAATGACCAAGGTCTGCCAGAGTCGCCATGTAACGACAAACTGGATTGAATAGCTTGCCACTACTCGGCAATGATGTTTATTAGCTACTTCATATATCCAGAGTGCATATACTTTACATTGAACACACGTTTATATACGAGAGAGAAAGAGAGAGACAGTGAACAGAGAGAAGAACAATAGAGAGGAAGAGAAAGAGCAGTGAGGCGTGACATACATATTGGTACAGTTGTGGGTGTGGGTGTGGGTGTATTTCAAAATAAGCCAACTCCATCTTTTAAATGAGGTCTAAGGGTAATAATTATAATTATTAATAAATTTCAAACTATAATTAATTTTGGCAATACAATTTCATCTTTTTCATGAAAAAAATAAGTCCAACCTCAATGGGCTAAAGTATATCCAATTCAGTTTATCACATTACATAAATTTCGTTTCCCCTTTGGTTTATTGATTCACAATCATATAATATCACTGAAATCCATATATCTATTATGATTAGGATCATGTTAAAAAGATCGTTAAAATCGAACGAGTCTATTCAAGAATGTGTTCTCTACGGCTTTCATTTGTTTTGTCTGACAGGAATAATTTTCAAGTTTACACGATGTAGACAGAGCTTTTCGGAAGCCTGTTTATTTCTAAAAATGTTTACTTTTCAAAATGCAAACAAAGAAAACGATGATGAAGAAAATATTGACGAGTGATGAGAGAAAGATACTGCCGGCTCTTGAAGTGAAAATAGAAAAACTTGAGCACTGCAATACGTATTTTCGGTTGAGAAATAGAATGATACCAAAGAAGTTTATCTGCTTATACGTGTAGGAGTACATAATAAATAAAGGACCCTGCCGGATTTTATCGACTTACGCATTTCAAAACAAAATACAGGGTTTTGTAGAGCTCGGTATGGATGTTATTTTGTGGATTTGAAGAATAGGTAGGTCAACACCCACACCCTCCCTTTTGAGATTTCAGTCGTTCGAGTTTTGAGCTTTCAGCTACTTTTACTCAATACTTTACTCTTCGATCTTGTGCTTTTCGAACAATTAACACTAAACCCACGCACGAACATAAACATTCTACACCCACATTCGTACTATGAGGAGGAGTGATTAGTTTTGTGGAACTAGAAGAAAAAAGTATTTGCTTTCCCAAACGGACTCATTTTCTGGTTTCTAAGTACTTTTCTTTTCTGCAGCTTACATGCTCTGATTGTTAATGCAAAAGTCTTTAAGATATGAAAACTTGTATGAGCAGTCATAAAAACATCTATTACGATTTACTACTTCTGGTTATTAGAGGTCAGTTTATTTGATTCGGACATGTTGTTTTACCATATTTTGCCACCACATGAAACTAACATTTTGATTCTTCGAAAAGAGTATCACGTGTTGATATTTCGAGGTCAAATAAATTTACGTTAGAGATCGGAAAAGTCGGCCATACGATGACTTTTGTGTAGTGAAAAGTGAACCGAAAGTAACTAAAAGTACTCTCCTATTTCACTTTAACTGCTATGAGACCTCTCAGTTATCTTCGAAGTTGGTTCTCTTTCAGTTGAGAAATTTATTTTGCAAGTTGTTTCGCCGATAGTGTGTATAGCACTACAGTAATTGCAAAAAAATATATTAATAGCGATACAATTCAGTTCAAAGTCAAATTGCACATATTAAATGTTTGTTTTTCAAACCCACTTGTAACGCGCATTATATTGAGCAAGAGCTATATGCTGGTGCAGTTAGTGCTGGTGATCATACAGTTAAAATGAATTTGTATTTGACTAGAGTTCAATTCATAGTCAAAGACTGCGACCTTTCCAATCGCTCCTTTGAAAAACGATTGTAGTTGTCGAGTTCCAATGCGCATAGACGCTGTACCATTCTGTGGTATTATACCGTATCCTAATAATGAGTCTTGATCACGCACATTTCCGTTCTTGAAAATTTTCGTATATCCAGTTGGATAAATGCTACTAACGTTAACTGTATTAATAGTGAGAGTGTACAAAATCCATTCTCCGACGGTAACGTTATCTTGAAAATAACTTCCAGCACCTAAGCCACCGGTCAAGTTGAATGCATAACCACTGATACGATTAAAACGTCCTTCTGTATTATTATAACTGTACATCCTAGCAGCCCAACTTTGTTGGTTGCTGTTCCCTTTTCCCATCCACCAGACATAGCCACTTCCTTCCTCATGGTCGAACTGTAGTGTGTCAGGTCGAAACCATGCCTCTATAGTAAGAATACCAGTTCGGACAATTTCCAAATAATCATTGTCAACTATAGTGAAATATTGATTAACGCCGTTAAACACACTCACAGTATCATTGTTGGGCATTTTTGTGGCAGAAGAATTGTTGGTAAATACTCCGTTTAATTTGTGACCTGAGTAGTCATATGGAATACTGGGATCAAGAGGCCAATATGCGACAGGTAAATGTGTCAGAACAGTTCTGTCATAGCTGGAGAGTGTATCAATAGTATTAAAGAGAAAGCACACAAATAAAAAACGCAGTAGAGATATTGAAAGAAACCAAGTTGTTGGATGATACATTATTACGATAATTTGAAATTGATGGCGCAAATGAATTACTAAAAGATTCAAAATTTCTTTTTTTTCAAAAAAGATCTTTTTGTGGAATCTACAACATATATTTGAATTGACTAAATATTCCAAACCCTATTAATCTATAGTAGAATCAGTAGGAATTTATCAAGATTAGTAAGCTGTAATAAGATCTCGGCTTGACCACGCATCAGTCACTCTTTTGTGAGGAAAGTTTAAAATAACAAAGTGAGGAATTCTGTCTCGATAGTCGGAATTGTCCTATCAAACGATTACCAAACCTGCTGCAAGTTATAAGAGGAATGATGAAAACTCCACTTTTGGGTCCGACAGATGTTGAAAAAGAGATTTATTAACTGATTTCGTCAAAAAAAACATAATTTTTTACTTCTTCATGTGTGTGTTTTTGTCTGAAAAATAGTTAGATGTTCTTATGAGATTCCATTGCAAGAATAAAGCTAACATACTGAAAAGATAAAACTGTCTTTGCACTACTCATGTATCAAAAAAAAGATGAGCTTTATCTTTATAGTTTGAAATGGTAAGTTCTCAAACCGTCCCCTCTAGAATTTCAGAAAAAGATGAAATTCCGTAACGAGCGATATTTCAAGATTTTTATTTGATGAAGCTAAGATGGATGAGAAGTGATCTGATGTCCTAATAGTTTATTGAAAGCTGAACAATTTTTGAATGCAACCTTTATTTGAATACTTCGTTCTTTCCTATAAAAATGCTTAACTCATAGCGACCCAAAAACGAAATTTCCATTTTCAAAAATTTCGTAACGGTTATTATTTTTTGAATAACTCTGTTGCAGTTGAAGAGAAATAGATAAAATTTTTACTGGCTACAGATCTAAGGGAGCTCTATTTATGATAAAAATTTCAGACAGTTTACTTGTTTTACCAAGTAGTTAGGTAGGTTGCAATCTGAAAAAATGAAATTGCATCACGCGTGGCCACGCCAACCCATAAGAAGATCACTATTTTTCATTTCAGAGTTGACGATGTGGGTCGGGATGTGAGTGAATAGAAGATCTACACAACCACATCCACACCTCATATCCGACCCCCAAATCCACATCTCAAACTTACACCTTTACATTCGTATTGTGCCCACATGCAGGGAAGCATTAGAATGGAATAATCGCCAACGGGTTCATGCTCTTGTTGAGATTTAACCGAAATTTCTAGTTTTTAGTTGGTATTTTTGTATGGTGTTAAGTTTTGAGTAAAATCATATTTCGAATTTTCATGTAAAACTTTCTCAATATGAAGGCCTTGCTATGAATAACTCGTATTGAGCCTTTAATCCTTTTTAGACATTCCATCTTTGAAATACAAGTTTTCCAAAAAAAGGTACATTTCTATAGATATATGCAATGTATAGCATTGATATTTTATAAGATTCATTTGTCAGTGAACCAATGTTCAAGAATTGTGAAACTAAGTATAGGCGACGTTAGCAATGTGCTATATAGAATGATTATAAAGCATTGATGGTTTCTCAAACCATTCGTTCTGAAGTCTAAAGAAACGAATTTTACTTGATGAAACATGTAGAATCCAAGTAGTAATTCCTGCTCTGATTGAACCAGCAGCTGCTCCAGGTTTTCTCGTTTGTGTTCCAAGGATAATTATGCCTGATCTTTCTATTAACACCGAGAAAAAGACAGGAGAATCTGACTCTCACCAATTGACTGAGCATGCCAAGTGCTACATGGAACACAAATGAGAACATCTGAAATGCTTACTGGGCGCATATGGGCACTCTACAATAGAGGAGATGTGCAGAACCTTTTAGAGCTCTAAAAGATTCTGAGTTTTACTTGATAGCAGACCCCTAAAAAAGGCTTCTATTCAAGAAAAAGTGGTACTAAATTCCTCGGCAGAATATTTTTTTGTCGTAAACTTTTTTTCAGGGGTTCTGCTATCGGGTAAAACACGGAACTCTTGAGAAGCCTGTAGAGTATGTGCACATCCTTTATTTTCTTTAGAGCAGAAATTGCTTGCATTTGGTACTAATTTCAGATACGTTGAAACTTTATTAATCAGCTAATCACAGCAAAGCTTAAATGTTGACAAAGGTTTAGATCGAAATTTCAGATACGATTTTTCTCGAAAACTAACTTCCTATAGAAAAAATCTACTAAAATTATAAGTTTTTCCAGGAATTTCAACAAGAGCACGATTTCTTTGATGATTATTCTAATCTAATAGTACACCATGCATGTGCTTAATGTGAACGCAAAGGGAGCGTTACTTCTTTAGTGGTATTACTTAAGAATAGAAAAATCTTCTGAGTACTGATAGAGTAAAAGGGCCTGAGAAAGAGACTGCAATCTCAAAAGACTTACATTTGCTTCTTGTACTGCTGCGATTATTTTTGTGATGACGAGTGTAATACGTTGTAATGTATCGACGTTGTTTAATAACAAAAATGAAAGCATTATTTTGTTTATGTGCATATCGAAAAAATGCTTGACTTGCGTGCATTCAACCGTATACGTGGGATAAAGAATGATCATATATTATTGAATCACACGGGATTTTTTTTCTCATACAAATAATCTCATTCTTTTGCTTGTTCTATCACTTACCTATCAGACAGCTTAATTGACGAAGAGAGAGAGTTAATCGAAGTTTGGAAAAAATGTGCATTATATCACGGCTTTTTTGTTTTTCTTCTCATCGTAACACAGGATAGGTAAAATATGAAGGCTTCACAATTAATAGTATGCTGCTTAATGCCGTTGATGCTGTTAAAACTAAGCTCAAACATCCCTTCTACCTATGGCAGAATATATTGGTTTTTATGTTATTTTTGAAATTATTTTCTGCTCATGAATATGTTCCTCGTCAAAGATTGATGTTTGGATGAAGTATTGGCCTCAGGATCGTTTCCGATCACCGCAGAAACCGGGGACTCACTTTCAACAACTGCCTCGGCTATCACCGTCGTGTGTATCCTTGCTTTGGTTAAGATTCCTTTTCAAGTCGTGATTTTCGTTTCAGTCACAATTCAAGTCATCAATTTGCTACCCATCCCAGTGAGAAGTCAGCATCAGACACAACTCACCTTATCAATTTCAACCTTGATATCAAGGTCTATACGACTGATTGTATTTATTGCGGGCTCTATCAAGCCTAACTTCTCGTCCAGCCCATGGTGTAAATTCCTGCGAAAAAAACGCGTTATTAAAACGCGTTTCACATCTGTTAACACAAACGCTGTGGAATGATCATTTTTCTATAAAAGTTTCGTAGCATATCTCTAACTGCGGTGCCGTATATCCTCGATGGAAAAAAATGAAAACGGTCAAGTATTTCATGCAATTTGAGTTGCAGACGCAATTTATGTATTCGTTTACATTTTTTCATAGATCTTTGGAGCTATAATTTAGATGAATTTTAATAAAGTCAACATATGGATTGGAACACTAGAACATAAGAGTAGAAGACATGTGTAGAAACCGTTCAACTAAAATAATCTAATGATATAAGTCTTTATTCTACAGTCATTCATAGTCTCGTGTAAACTTACTAAATTAAATTCTCAGTTTCTCATTGCAATCAATTCAAAATTATCATTTCCCTGATGCCTATACCAAATGATGAGTTTGATCTCCTCTTAACATACCTTTTATTTAAACTCTTTCAAATTTAAATTCAAATACACAATTGTAACGATCTTAGTTGATTTAAATTGCATTTAATATTTAAACAAGTTGAATCTGTTAGATATAAATTTTTGTGGAACTCATGTATATTTTCTTCGAAAATAGTGAGTGTAAGTTTTAAGTTCGAGTTTTTGCGGCTCCCCCCCCCCCTCCCTTACAGACCATAGCAACCAAAACAAGAACATTCCATACACATACTCCCCCCTTCCCCCCCATTACAGACTGCAACAACCGTATTCATCAAATAGTCGATNTTGCATTAGGTAACCATTTTTGTATACTATTAGAATTGTCTGGCACATAAATATTACCATCATTATCAACAAATACATCTTCAGGAAGATTAACACGTGCTACTCTTATTCCAGTTGTATTCCACGAGCCCGATGGACATGCTATTACATTTCTCAAACCATCTTGTTTCAAATTAAACAATCGTCATAAATCACTGTATAACTCACTTAAAATATGTAATTTAGCTCCAAAGTGCTCCATAGGAAATATTTTCGACATGCTGCCCTCGCAAAATATTTTATATAAAATCTTTCTATTACCAATCACGTAAAAGAGGTTCGGAAAAAACCTTTAATACCTATCGCTCGCACAGAAGGCTTGTTTTGGAGAGTAGTGTCATCCAAAGAAATGTTCAATCGAATTCATTCTTTAATAATGATGACTTATTTAAATCACACTTTGGATTATTATGATTGTTTTTACTTTTAAGCACAAGTTGGTTTGAGAAATGTAATAGCATGTCCATCGGGCTCGTGGAATACAACTGGAATAAGAGTAGCACGTGTTAATCTTCCTGAAGATGTATTTGTTGATAATGATGGTAATATTTATGTGCCAGACAATTCTAATAGTATACAAAAATGGTTACCTAATGCAACAAATTCAATAATTGTAGCAGGTGGAAGTTTTGGTTCTGATATGAATCAATTAAAAAATCCAATCGGTATTTTTGTACGTAATAATAATTTATACATTGTTGACAACGGTAACTTTCGCGTACAAAAATGGGCTTATGGTGCCACTAGTGGTGTTACAGTTGCTGGAGGAAATTCAAAAGGATCTGCACTTAATCAATTGAGTAATTGTTATGGTATTTATGTGGATGAACACGAAAATGTATACATAGCGGATAGAGATAATAATCGTGTAATGAAATGGATGCCTGGTGCAACTGAGGGTATTGTTGTTGCTGGTGGAAATGGTGAAGGTCGTAATTCAAATCAACTGACATTTCCTCTGGGCATATACTTAGACAACGATGCCAATATTTATATAGCAGACTATTATAATGATCGTGTTCAAATGTGGGCACAAGGTGCTACAAATGGTATAACAGTAGCAGGCGGAAATGGAGGAGGTAGTGCTCCTAATCAGTTATCCTTACCAAGAGCAGTTTCGGTTGACACACGAAAGAATGTTTATGTCCTTGATACCTTCAATGATCGTGTGCAAAAATGGGCTCCCCGCGCATCAAGTGGTATTACAATAATAGGAAGTGATGGTCGAGGGAGCCGCCCAAATCAATTGCAATCCCCATTTGGGATGAGGTTTGATTCAAACGGTAACATATATGTAGCAGATACTTATAATTGGCGTATACAAAAATTTAGCTGTGGTAAGTGAATTGACTTATAAACATATAAAAATACATATGCAAAATATTGATGTAAAGTCGAGCTCATTTGTATAATATCAGAATAAACATCTGCTATATTTGCAAATGATGCTGTGATCTACATCAATCTTGCATATCGAGTCCTTTCTACACATGTTAAACAGTATATATGATATGTATCATAGAGAGGATCACAGATATTCATTGAGTCGAGAAAGAACAATATTTGGTCAACATGTGTTGGTTANAGAAGAAGAGTTTAAAAAGACTTTCAACAAATTGCTAGAAAGGATGGAACTTTGTGTAAATAATGATGGTGATTATTTTGAACATTTAATAAAATAAAACCAGAAATAAGTAGCTCTTTTGATATGATTACTTGACGTTATCAACACCCTTGCTAGGTACTAAGTATTATAAAGTTTACCTAAAAGAATGTCAGAATTAAATCCAAGATAGACTTGTTATATGTATAATTATAGACGAGATATTTTACTAACTATTTATGCAATAAAACTTTCAAAACTGAGTATTTTAATGAATTTAAAACTCCGTGGCCAGAACTTTTGGACCACCCTAAGTAAAACTCTTTACAATTCAAAACTGATAAATCCCATTTTTGACGCACTTTCGTTTGGTATAAAATTTGCTATTGACTCTATTTAAAATCACAGCATTACTTGCACCTCCCACACCTGGAAAAACATTTTTACACACCCTGCACAACTAGCACATATCGTGCCGAAATAGGTTTTATAAATAATTTAATATTATGATATTCGTTGAAGTACGATCAAATAGCGTTAAAAAATAGAGCATTCTTTTCTCTATCAGACTATATAGAAACAAAGTTTCTTAAAGCTTTTTATAAAGGATTAAAGATGAGCCGCAACTATGTTTGGACTGCCCTAAGTAGAATAAGAAATAAAGAATGTTTCATAAGTATCGACCCCTTTTTATTTTTGTTGTTTATTTGCCATATTCAACGATAGAGAGGCATTGAGCATATATATTTGAAAAGTGGGATCTAAGCTATCTTCCAACGGTAATCGCACTCAATTTGCATCAACTATAAGAGAATACGACGTTGTTAGAAAAGTTACAGAAATTTCAACCAAAGACACTTTCTACTTTTTCTCTATGAAGTACTACTATGGCAGTATTTTGTGAATATCTTTCTTTTTTCTTGATGCTTTGAGCTGAGTTCTTTTGCAAGAGATAGCCTGTAAAATTCTCTACAAAATCTCGTAAAAACAGCTCTTTCTAAGAATGACTTAAAATGTCGTGTAATCTTTTTAGTCAGAAGCAGTAAAATTGTCTGTTCTGCTGAAAAAGAGGTCAGTAAAAGTGAACTTTTTTGAAGTGCTCTAATATCGATTTCTGAGTTATCTTTTTTAAAATCTGCTTTTATCAGATTTTGTAGAGAATTTTACAGGTTATCCTTTGAACAAAACTCAGCTCAAAATATCAAGACAAAAGAGAGATATTCACGAAATACTGAGAAAATAGTACTTCATATAGAAAAAATAGAAAGTGTCTTTGGTTGAATTTTCTTTAACTTTTCCATCAACGTCGTATTTTCTTATAGTTCGTGCAAATTGAGTGCAATTACCGTTGGAAGATAGCTTAACCCTTTTAGAACCATGGCTCAGCCAATGGATGAAATTTCCTTAAGACTTTATATTTAATATAGGCTGTGTGTGTGGTGGATATTTTCATAAAAAATTTTTAAAAGGTATTTAAAGTCATTTTCAACTATGCCCGTACCCCACCTAGGGTGATGACGAAGAAGTATTTTGAGCATCACCGTAGGGGATACGGGTGTGGGTCAAAACTCGATTGAGAGCTACCGCAAAATTAACCATTGGAATATCATTAGGAGTCACTTTTAGCTTAGTTTCACCACGAAAAATCGAAATATTTTGGGAACCTCAAAAGAGCATTATCCACCCTGTTCCTGGAGGTAATGTCGCAAAATCACATCAAGCTTACTACTTGAGTGACCTCATTAAGATTATAACTCTTATATAGATGTATGCACCAGACTCTGTTCTATGTTATAGAGAAAACCGCACTTCGATATTATTTCGCGTTCATGAGTTATTTAAGATGTAAGAGATTTGAAAAATGTATACTTTATAAAGTACACTGGTCCTCCAAGGGTTAAATCCCACTCTTCAAATGCATATGCCCAATGCCTCTCCATCTTTGAATACGGCAAAAATACAAGAAAAATAAAAACGAGGCCGATACTTATGAAACACCCTTTATATGCCGTGGTTTGTCGTCTGTAGTATACACCATCCATATAAAGATTTGCACAACGGTCATTCTCGTCACTTATACATCCAATATAGCAGCAACGAGATTCTGTTCCATTTTTCCCACCAGTCAAAACCTCCTAGACTCACTCTGCAATTAATACCGACTCGTACATAGCTTGAGATCGATGATCAGAGTATATATCCAGATTTTCGAATTTACTTGACAAGTCCCTTATGCAAGGAAGAAACGCGTCGTTAGTAGCTTGGGATTCTTCTATTCAATCTCAATCATCACCCTTACCCTCATACAAATTTTCCTTATCATTAGCTTTTTGATAGGTACGAAAATAATTTTTTTTTCTGTTTACTTTATTTTCGGTGCAATTTTGAATTAATTGTACGAAATCATGTCACAAGAAAAGAGATTACTATTACTCAATCAACTCGAGTATCAATTTTATGTCTTTAGTTTGTAGTATATCAGTTTCCTTTCATTTTTTTAGTGGCCAGCTATTCAAGAAATTTTTGGTAATCGTCATCCACCAGCTAGTCTTCATCGTTCATCATCAACAACTACAACAAATCCATTTGAATCGACATTTTGTGATTTAATTAATGATGATATGATTCTTGAAGTTATGTCCAACCGATATCTTGCTTCAATTACCTTTTTTAATGAAAAGATTGAGTTTTGGACTTTATTTTCCCGTATCTTTTATTGTACTCTTATCTTGTGTCATGTGCATATATCTCTGTTTGTTAACCTGTATTCTATATATCTTTTTTTCTTGTGTTCTTTGTGTATTAAGATGTAAATACGACTAGTAGCGAAACCCATAAAACTAACATCAAACGAGTATTCTTTTTCAGATGACGACTAAATCATTAGCTGGGCGAGTGGCTCTTGTCACAGGTGGAACAAGAGGCCTTGGCAAAGGCATTGCTGTTGAATTAGGAGCTGCTGGTGCTCTTGTCTATGTCACAGGTAGAAATGAATGTTATTTGATTCTTTTTTGAAAAATATATGATTTATATGAAAAGGTCGTACAGTAAAATCATCGGATGGTAAAAGTGGAAGTTTAGAAGAGACTGCAGAAGCTGTGAGTATCAATAATTTTATTATAAAAGAGTTGGAATCTAATTTCTTTTAGATTCGTAATCGAGGTGGTCAATGTATTCCATTACGTGTTGATCATGAAAATGCCAATGAAGTTGAAGCATTATTTCAACGAATTTCAAAGGAACAAGATGGCCGATTAGATATTCTAGTGAATAATGCATATAAGGGGGTTGAGGTATTTGAAAGACATGGTATCAAAATTTAACATTGAATTGCTTCTTTCTATAGCGTCTCTTGATTGAATCTGGTACAACATTTTGGGAAACTGAACCAGATATTTTCGATGACCTTAACAATGTTGGTTTACGGTAATATAAATTAAATGAATATCCATTCCTTAATAGACTTTTTATTTGATTATAGTAATCATTATTATTGTGCTGTTTATGCTGCTCGATTGATGGTTCCTCGAAAACAAGGTTTAATTATATTCATATCTTCAGTAGGCGGCCTGATCTATTTATTTCATGTAGCCTATGGCGTTGGGAAAACCGCTGTTAGTTATTCTTTCTTTCTCTTTAATTTGAAGCATGATAAAGATTTAGTGTGATCGTTTGGCAGCTGATACAGCAATAGAATTAAAAAAGCACAATGTTGCTTCAATATCACTTTGGCCAGGTCTTGTTGAAACAGATACTGTTCAAGCATCAGAACGTAATGCCGGGGTATATATTAACCTTTATTTATTCTTTATAAAACAATTAGTTTTTGCGCAATAGTTTCATAAAATGTTTGAAACTTATGGTAAAACAGAATCAGCAGAATATGTTGGTCGTATTATTGCTCATCTGGCACAGAGTTAGTTTTTCTGATCTAACCAATACAAAAATAAATGTTTTCTTTATAGATTCATCATTGATGCAATACTCAGGAACGGTAGTGACTACGGCTGATTATGGAACAACTTATAGTATTCCTGATATAGATGGTATGTATTGTAAAATTGAATTTTGTTGTTTAATACTTCTATGTATTCATAAATGCTTTTAGGTACATATCCGAGTAATCCACGATCGGTTAGTTTTCTTATGAGACGAATACCGGCGTTAAGTTGGTTATCAGGATGGATTCCTGGCTTTTTAAAAATACCTCATTGGCTATGGTACAAGCTGGTAACAAATTTTCAGTTTTCACAACACATTTTTTAAAATATTTTCAACGGTATAATTGTGTTTTTAACTCTCTTTAATGAGCCAGTAACTTAAAATAAAATATATCGAGCATTTTCGACAAGCAATATATGTTCTTTTGATTTTCTTTGTGATTATCTTAGATAAAATAAAACACATGTTTTTCGCAGCTGTGAAGATTAGAAACATATTATGTACAATTGCTAACTACACTTTTGTATCCTTGCTATTATTTTGCTTTGTATTTGCATTTAGATTTAGATAAGAATCATAGTAAAAAAAGTAATGAAATGTTTTATTTTAGATAGTAATGGGACCATTAGTTAGTCGGATGCAGAGCTCCGAATGGGCTGGGACGTCTCATGGGATTGGGTGGGACTGATTTCTCGTTCCAAGAGATTTTCTTCTTTTTTCTTATAAAAAATGCTATTTCTGTTCTGTTAAAATATAGATTCAAGGTACTTAATAAGAACGGTAAATAATAGGATTTACTCACTAGACTGTAGAGAGGGTCATATGAAATAAAATGTGAGTTTGTGCGTGTGTGTATGTTTGTGGCAGGTCAAAAGAACATCTGTGAGAGGCTAGCTTATTTTGAGTCTTTTCAGTGTTTCGTTGGAACTTTCATATAGCTTATCGAGGGCTGGGAACCTGAATCTATTAGCGGTATTTCGACCCGAGCTTCAATTGGTCAGAGATTGAATCAATCAAAAACGAGTTGTTTTATTTTGAGACTTTTCAGTGTTTTGATGATACTTTCCTCATACGTGTGAAACCTGAAAATTGAATTCAATTATTCTAGTATTCAATTTTGTCTTTACATACACATATGACCTGATTAGGTGTGGGTGCCGCGAAACGAGTTCGGGGAGAGGCGAGAAAAAATGCATAATTGAATAATTGGATAGTTGAAGTATATTTTCAATAATTGAATTGAACTTTCAGGTTTCATATTACTGAAAATTAAACAGATAGAAGATTCAAAAACCGAGTACAGATCCTGAAGCTGACAGTGAAGAAGGTTTGCTCGATGTTCGAGTAATTTGTGCCATCAAAAATTCTCTTAAGGCGTCTACTCCCTCAAAAAAAGTCAATTTTTGTCAGAAATTTCGAAATTGAGATAAATGCATGGGAAGATAGCCCATCATCTGTCATTTCATAAACGAAAAAAAAATTTTCCTTGGTATATTTTCGGTATAAAAGCTGGTGTAACCACATAGTTTCGCGAAATTCTGCACTAAAAATAATAAAACTAGTATCATATGAATTGAAAATATGTGTTGATTTTCAATCTTTTCATTTTTTTTTACCTGAACTATAATATCCCTCATTGAAAATTAACACAACCAAGTTACAAGTAATATTAGATGTTACTGATGACGATGTTTTATGCTTCGGTGACATGTTCCATATTAGTGAATGCAAAGTTTCATTCGCATTTTGTGTCGAGCCCTTCAATACACACATGAAGCTTTGCTTGCTATATATTGAATCAAATACAGGGTTGATTTTATTCATAACTGCGCGTGGCAATGCGTGTGGTGTATGATCATAACGTCTGTTGTTTTTTCTTGCTTGTCAATATTCACACTGTTCTTCATCACAAACTTCATGACGACGACCATTGTTTGTCAAGAATTTGTGCCAAAAGATTGCCTGAAAAGAACAGAAATAGGTAGTTATTGAAATATAAAGGATAAAGAATGTCAAACCTGTGCGCTTCTGTAAAGTTTATCAAGATCATTTTTATTTTTTCGAAGTGCATCAGAAAAACAGATTTGAAAGCGAGTTATCATTTGATCCATAAATGAATAAGTCTTGTATTTAATTCTCACCTTTTATTACATTAATTCTTTATCGCTATTATCTCTAAGACAAGTACTAAGAGATATTCACATAGTATAGCGCTTAAAGACCCATCGGTAGCCACATCTAATAGCTTTTAGAGACCAACTGGTACTATCATATTATAGCTTTTGAAGGCTCATGGATACCTCGGTAGAATAGCTCTTGAGAACGCTTGGATACCGATGTAGGATAGGTCTTGAGGACCTATGGGCACTTCGCACAGGATAGATCTTGAGGATGTATGAGTATCTGCGTTCAAAAAGAAATAGGAATATTTAACGTGGGTGGCGAAGGTACCTGTGATACAGTCTCGTATATACAAATTACCTCTTGGACCCACTGTACTCCCATGTACTCCCGTGTACTTCCGGAGTCCAGGGAGTACATGGGAATATGCGGGACTACGGGAGTACACGGGATAAGAGAGTACGTCGCTTTCCTTTGGCTAGAATGCAAGTGACATGACGGAACCCATCTCCGCTAAATTTTTTAAACAAATGAAATATGATTATCTCATGCGGTTTCCAAGGTACCTAAAATTTTTCGATAAAACTTCAAAAAACTTTTCAACTAACGAGTGTGCCAAGTTGAACGGACCTCTCAGTATTTTGACTGTAATTTTTTTCTTTTTGATCTTTAGAACTGATTGTTCTTCCAAAAATGCGCCGTCAAATTCTCTACAAACCCATAATCAAACTTATTTCTGTGAAAAGTTAAGGGGAAAAAGTAAACAAAGATTATCCAACACATAAAAAGTAGTCAAGTTTCAAAGTTAACGAGTATTCCATGAATGGTCGGTATTTGTATCTGCTTGGGTGTGGGTGTGGGTGTGTATAGAAACTCAAGATTTTTTGGAAATTAGATACATAAGCGAGAGACTTACGACCGGTTTCGTCCTAGCTTAAGGGACTCGTCAGGTAAGTTTAGTATCTAAATTCTATTGCATATCGATCGTAGTTCAAAACAGAGGTAGTCCTATAAGAGTTTTCGACAAAAATCGAAGCTCCCAACAAACAACCACCAAATTTTTGAAATAGGATCATATCTATTTTAAATCAATTAAATTTTCAAGACGAAAATAAAATTGAAATAAATTAGATGACGTCGCAACAATTAATTCAAGAATTTTTGAATAAAATTCCTGAATTAGTTGGTGTGTAGGGTGTGGGTGTGTTACTTAAATCTCAAAATTGATTCACAGCTAGATGCGACCGATTTCGTCCTTGCTTAAGGGACTCATCAGGCAAATTTTGAATAGGTAATAACTGCATTGAGTTAAATCTCAAATTAATAGAAAACTGTAAAAGTGAACAAAAAAGAAGACTTCCATTCACACAATGTGAGAATTTTATCATGCTTGAAAGTTGAATAAATTTCGATATATTTGTATTTATAATGTCTTGAGAAGGTAGAATTGCCGATTTTTGATCTAGACATGAGTGGTACTGACATGTTAGATTCAATAGTAAATAAAATTGTTTTGACATACCTTGTGTTTTTGATTGAGAACGATATTGACGAATATAATTTAGAAGTTCTTGTTCTTCTTGTATGTAGTGTTTGCGATATGATGGCGGATATTATTCAGATGACATAATAGAATGACTAGGCAAGAAAGTTCGGGAAAAATTATTCAAATATTCAGTGGATTTTATGAAAGTGCTTATTCCATGGTTTACTTTTTTTTCGGTGAAATCAGAGTATTTAACTGCAGCTGGTTGCTAGTTTGTCGAGAACAAATAATGATATCTGAAAAGAAATCAGAAACTATTGCTCATAGGCAGTAACAAAAGTCTCGGTTTCTTATTGAATGTTATGTTGGTTATAGTCCCAATGTATTTTATTATATTTATATATCAGTTAGGAAATGTTGTCTCATGAATAGTCAATGCCACACTATAATTGAGACTGGGCTCTTCAGCAACAGTCCATCGAAAGGCGAATTGATAGGGAGACTGATGATTTGGACTTGTCAACAAACGACGTATAATTGCATCGATTTGATCAATCATGTTTTCCTCATGAAATGTCGTTTGGTAACGTTGTTGTTCTAATGTTGGTGTTTGTACTTCCGTTACCGATGATTTAAGTGGGTGTAGTGTTTGTGAGAAACCATTGGCTTCATTAATATTGTCGTCTTGGTTGTCTGTTCATGAAGAAGACATTGATAACTGATCCAGTCAAAAGCAGTGAATTGAAATCTAGAACAATTTTTCACTTAAAAATAAATCTTCCCTATGAATAGTAGAGTAAATATGCAAAAACTTAATAAACACTGAACCAGATACATTAGTAAATATTCATGCTAAATGCAGACAATATCAAAATTGAAGTGAATTTTATTTAGTAAAAAGTTAAAATTCTACAGTGTTTTCGGTACCATTGCTGAGTAAGCCTTTTCTCATATCGTTCGTGATCGAAAGCTCATTAAAAGCAATAAACGAAGTTTGATTCTGAGAAAACTATTTGTCTACATTTCAAAACAAAACTCATCTGTAGTAAGTCTTTATCTGTATTGTGTTTTTGCTTAAATGAACTTCTAGATGATCTTATGTCCAATAGTCGATGAATATGTAGAAGATTATTGTTACTTGTAAAACAGATGAAAACAGACGATGAAGTATCAATTTCGAGAAAACTTCCGTCATCAAAGTTATACTTTACAAAAAATATAATCGACAATGAAAAGACATATAAAATCTACCAGCTTGATCAAAAATAAATCAAAATATTTATAAGATAAAAGACAACAATGAGACCTTAAAGCTAATACACAATTTTTTTCTTTGTTGATCAATAGTCGATTGTATTCGATAAGGATTATCGTGGTCACTTCAACTTTTTCTATCATTATCAGTATCATTATAACTAGATTCTATCGCTTGATGAGTGGCATAAGCACTCAGACTAGTATGATTATAAACATAGATATGGTGATGTCTACTAAATTGAATGCCAGAATCGAGAAGTGACTAAAAAAAATAGAAATATCAGCTTAAAACCCAATATGTTCATTATATTCTACTGACCAATATTTGATGAAAACAGTTGAGAAGAATTGTGAACTATATGATTGTTGTCAATTTGTTTTGTTTGAAATGTGTTGAAATGATTAAATCTAAAAAGAAATTAAAAACAAAGCTTTTATTTACCTTGAGTATTTATGTTTC